GTGCTGAAGCTTCAGTTGACTTCTCCAACAGATAAAAGGGAAGATCTCTGAACACTAACAATATGTCAGACAAGTAATAAGAATGACAGCATTACAATATCACAGACAGATGAGGAAAATGTGGCACAGAGAAGCTATGTAACATGCTGGATGTCACTACACTGGGAGATATCAAAGGCACTGTAAATCCAGGTCTGTTGGACTGTAGGTAGCACTTTTAACCACTATGCTTTATTGTTTCAGCTTTATCAAGCGTGGTAACTCAGTGGCTATAGCAGGAAACACTATGGACATGGTCTCTGTCTTTCTGAGGTTTACAGTTGACTGCACATTGTCACACATCACTGCCAGGACAAGTCAGCATTGTTCACAGATCCACTGGGAGAGGAAAGCTGAGACAGTAGATAGATAATAGATAGATAACACTTGGAATAGATATATACTACATTTATATATTCTATAATATGTATGTAACATACATAACAATCATAGCACAAAAAAGGGGAAGAAGATGAAATTAAGTTGGCATAAACCTAGAAGTAGATTCCGAAGTGTTAAAATGCCTATGGTAAGTCTGCCACAATAAAAATATGCAAAAAATATTTTAAAATTATTTTAAAGAATTAAAATGTTATGCTAAAAATATTCACTTAAAGCTAAAGAAAACAGTAGAGGGGATCAGTGGGGGAAAAAGATGAGGCATAGAGAAAACAAAAAGTAGAATGTCAGATATAAATCCAATTATATCAGTAATAACATTAAATGTGAATGAATTAAACAATCCAATCAAAAATAAGATCCAACTATATCCTGTCTATAATAAACATACTTCAGATTCAAACATGCAAGTAGATTGAAAATAAAAAGATTGAAAAAGACGTATCATGTAAACAGCAACCAAAGACAGCTGGAGTGGCTATATGATATCAAACAAAATTGACAGTAAAAAAAGTTACTAAAGATAAAGATTGATATTTTATGGTCAACCCTTCAGGAAGATACAACAATTAAAATATAAGTACCTAACAACAAAGACCAAAATACACGGAGTAAAACTGACAGCATTAAAGGGAGAAATAGACAACAATACTTCGTAGAGACTTCAACAATCTATTTTCAATAATGAGTATAATCCAAAAATAACTGAAAATACTCAAATGTCATAGCAGCATTATCTGATAACCAATAAATGGATATAACCCAAGTATCCATTAAATGATGAATGGATAAACAAAACAGCATATCCATACAATGTAATATTATTCAGATTTAAAAAGAAATGTCTACCAGTACATGGTACAACACAGATGAACATAGAAAGCATTATGCTAAGTGAAAAAACCTAGTCACCAAGACTAAAGACATATACTGTATAATTTAATTTATATGGAATATCCAGAATGGGCAAATTCATAGGAGCAGAGAGTAGATGAACACTTTCCAAAGATGATGGGAGGAGATAATTAAGACTGACTGCTAATATGCGTGAGGTTTCCTTTGGGTATGATAGAAATGTGCTGGAATTAGATGTAGTAATGGTTGTACGATAAAATGATTATATTAAAAATTACTAAATTATACACTTTAAAATGATTAATTTCATGTTTCTGAATCATATTTCAATAAAAGGAAGAGGAAAAGAAGAAGGAGGGAAGAAGAAAGGTACAAGCATTTCATTTTAGAAAAAACTAGAGGAAAGAGAGAGTCTCAAGAAGGAGGAAGTTGTCATGAGTGTGAACATTTATGAGAGTAACAAGTTAAATAAGAATGCAAAGGATCCTTTGGCTTCAAGAGTCTCAGGGAAATCCAAAATGCATGGCTTGCGAAGGGATTAGGCGATTTAAAGACTAAAACACTTTGAGATATTTTATTGTATTAAAAAAAAAAAAAGGATAGTGATGTGCTATGAAGTGAACGTTTGTGTCATCCCAAAATTTATATGTTGAAGCCCACATCCCCAGTAAGATGGTATTTGAGGTAGAACTAAGAAGGTAATTGGATCATGAGGTTGAAACCTTCATGAATAGGAGTAATGCCATTGTAAAAAGACACATGAGAGACATGATCCTGCTCTCTGCCATGTGAGGTTACAGCAATAAATCCTCCATGTGCGAACCAGGAAGAGAGCCCTCACCAAGAACTGAATTGGCCAGTACCTTGATCTTGGACTTTTCAGCCTCAAAAACTGTGAGAAATAAATTTCTGTTGTTTAAGACACTCAGTCTGTGTTATTTTTGTTAGATTAGCCCAAACTAATTAAGACAAAGAAGTAATTGGAGGGGAAAGAGAGTCAGGGAGCATTTTCTTTTTTTCTTTTTTAATGATAAGAAAGATTTAGGTAATTGTTGAGAGACAGTTCTTCATGAATCTCTCATGCATCTACCTGTCCTGCAGATGCACTAATTATCTTTGTTCAGAACCATATTTTTTTTATGTTTGTATAGGAATGGGAGTTATGGTTTTCCGGGCTCAAGACACATTTACTCTCTAACAAGCAACATAATATTTCCTTCTGGAACAAAGTTCAGGTAGGCTTACTGCCCATTATAAAAGATCCAGCTTCCCTAAGTTTGGGATTTCTCTCCTGTAACACAACCTGTTATTCCTGCAAGTGTGGCCTGACCTGCTTCACACGACCCTGTGGGAACTGAGACCCAGGAAACCAAAGTAAATATGCTGATGCTGATGCTGCTTGTTTCACTGTGAATAATGAAGTCATTTATCTCTGAAAAAAATAATGGGTAGAACAGCTCAGCAGACTAGTTCAAGAGGACTTGAGCAATACCCTCAACCCACTAGACTAACATATAATCTATTGAACACCTCAAATAAGCAGAATGTATATTCTTCTCAAATGCCTGTGAACCATTCTTTAGTACAAACTACGTTATGCCATAAAACATAAATGTAAAAAGACTGAAATAATACAAAATATGTTCTCCAATCACAACAAAATAAAATTAGAAATCGATAACAGGAAAAAAATAGGATAACTTACAAATATGTGGAGATAAATGACAGTTCTAAATACCAGTGGATTAAAGAAGAAATCAAAAGGGGAATTTAAAATATTCTAAGATGAATGAAAATGAAGACATAACATTTCAAAACATATGGGATGCCATGAAACTAATGCATAAAGGCAAATTTATAAATTCCTATATTAAAAGAGAAATAAGACCTCACATCAACAGTCTCCATTGGGAGCACCTTAAAACACATAAGAGCAGCTAAATCTAAAACAAGCAGGAGAAGGGTAATCATAAAACCAAAAGTTGTGCATTTGAAAATATTAACAAAAATTGGCAAATCTTTAGCTAGTGAAGAAAAAGAATACAGAAGACTAAACTTACTAATATCAGGAATAAAAGAAAAGGCATTGCTACTGAATCTAGAGAAAGAAACCAAAGGATGCATCAGAATGTGGTTACCAACTTTTCCAAAGTGAAGCCGAACACAACTTTCCTATTTTCCAGCATCGGTCTATTTGCATCACAGAATGAAAAACTGCTTACAAAGTCGTTACTGAAAGCTCCTATGTTTGGTAGCTTTTAAACTGCTTGAACTTCTGCCAATGTAGGACAAAAGGTGCAGCAGCCTATCTACTCAAGCTGTTCCCCCCTCCTACTGAAAAAAAAGAACTTGATGATGACAAAGACTTGAAACGGGCCAAAATTAAAATCAAAACGATAGCATTGCAACAATTACACAAAAACAAAATGATCCTCAAAAGTTAAACTTTTGAATTTATATTTATTAGTTCAAGAATAGCAGCAATTGAAACTGTGACCCACTCATGCTAATATTGATGGTGCAGATGATATTGTCCAGTCTGAGAATTATGGAAATTCTAATCTTTCTGTGCATCAGGCACAGTGGGAATTTTATAGCATTCAGTGGCAGCCAGATGCTTTGTAATAGAGTTTTCAGTAAACTCTGGCAACTGGCAAATTTTATGTTATGACCACCCAATTTAGGAACCCTTAGTATTTACTCAGGGATATAAGTTTATATAATTATGCATTAGGCACTCATAAGAATGAAGGACTTACAAGAACAGGAGCCTCAAATCCCATTCATGTTTGTGACAATCACTGCTTTAGAACTATCTGAGTTACCACTTAAGTACTCGGACATATGACAGCATGGTCACAGCCGTCTTTTTGTCTTTTTAGATAAAATAGTAAGAATTGACTTGACTACATGCCTTTTGTAAGTTCAAAGCTCTTCCCATACTTTCTATAAATTTCTGGGGGTGGAACGCAGGTGGGCACACTTTACAGTCTTACGACTTTTTTGATTTTCTCTTTTGTGTGAGAGATCTCTGTGCTGTGCCACAGCAATGCAGATGTGAGTGAGCCTCTGCCCCTTTTAAAATCATCAACAACAAAATCCTCTCAGAAAAAATGTTTCATGAAGATTTATGGAAAGACAGAGGAGGAGTGATATGACAGTAAACAAACACTTTCAAATAAAGGAATGATTTTCCATGCTTAATATAGTCTTTACCCATCTCTCTCCTTGCTCTCTCCTTCTCCTCCTCCCCTCCTCTGCAACCTTGGAGTTTGGCTGACACACTTCACCACACGTGCTAGCTGGTCTTCGTCTTGTTTCTCCTCTTGATTATTTTCTCTGCTTTTGGTTTCCTCCTCTCCTCTGTTTAGAACAACAAATCAGGCCGGGCACGGTGGCTCATGCCTGTAATCCCAGCACTTTGGGAGGCCGAGGCGGGTGAATCACAAGGTCAAGAGATCGAGACCATCCTGGTCAACATGGTGAAACCCCATCTCTACTAAAAATACAAAAAATTAGCTGGACATGGTGGTGCGTGCCTGTAATCCCAGGTACTCAGCAGGCTGAGGCAGGAGAATTGCCTGAACCCAAGAGGTGGAGGTTGAGGTGAGCCGAGATCTCCCCATTGCACTCCAGCCTGGGTAACAAGAGCAAAACTCCGTCTCAAAAAAAAAAAAAAGAAAAGAAAAAGAACAACAAATCAGCTTATCTAATTCTCTCAGGGGAAGAGCTTTGATATTTTCCTGAAGATATGTCAACTGTGAATGAATACTTAGGTCCTTGGGGTCTCATCTTCTCTTTATTCCCACTGTGATCCAGGAATGTTTCCTGGAAAATTAACTGTGACTGCCATACAGAATTATGTAAAAGCATGGCAGATGACTCTGCCATCTGTTCATTACAGGTGGCATTTCCCAAGAAATGCAGGGTTTTTTCCCAGAAAAAGGTGGAGAAAATGTGGTGTGGAGCAAAAATTGGGTGTTTACTAAATATTTATGGAGGAAGAATGAGTTAGTGGAACAGTCAAGTCATGGGAAAAAGAGACAATGATCAATAAAGCTACTTCAAATGGGGTGGGGGGCAGAATCAAAACTAAAGTGGAGAAATTACTCTTTTTCTGAAAGAATGACAACTCTTTTACTCAGACAGCATGAAAGAAGATAAGCAGGGTGAGCTGCAAATGAGATGTATTTGTATGTGCTAGAAGAGTCAGCTAAGGGTTCACTCCTGCAATGACTTGGATTTTCTCAGTAAAGTCAGGTCCAAAGTCATCTGCTGACTGAGGGCAGAGTTAGGAGAGGGTTTAGCATTGTGGCTTGAGATTATTAAGTGCCAGCATTTCTTTCTTTGGCATTGTTTTCTGATTAAAAAAATTTTGGGGGTACACAGTACAGGTATATATTTACGAATTACATAATATATTTTGATGTAGGCATGAATGCATACAAATCACATCAGGGAAAATAGGGTATCCATCACCTCAAGCATTAATCCTTTTTATTAAAAACCATCCAATTACACACTTTTAGTTATTTTAAAATGTACAATTAAATTATTTTATACTAGGTCTTATTCATTCTAACTTTTTATACCCATTAAGAATTTCAACTCCCCTTCCCTGCCACTCTTCACTACCCTTCACAGCCTCTGATAACTATCCTTTTACTCTGTCTTTGTGAGTTCAATTATTTTAGTTTTTAGCTCCCACAAATAAGTGAGAACATGTAAAGTCTGTCTTTCCATGCCTGACTTATCTCACTTGACATAATGACCTCAATCAAGTTCCATCCATGTTGTTTTAAATGACAGGATCTCATTCTTCTTATGGCTTCATAGTACTTCATTGTGTATATGGACCACATTTTCTTTATCCATTAGTCTGTTGATGGACACTGAAGTTGCTTCCAAATCTTGGCTATTGTGAATAGTGCTGCAATAAATATGGAGTGTAGATATCTCTTTGTCATCTTGATTTGTTTTGTTTTGGGTATATACCTAGGAGTAGGATTGTTGGATTGTAAGGTAGCTCTATTTTAGTTTCCTGAGGAAGTTCTGAACTGTTCTCCATAGTGGTTGTACTAATTATATTCCTACCAATAGTGTACAAGGGTTCCCATTTCTCCATATCCTCACCAGCATCCATTATTGCCTGTCTTTTGGATAAAAGCCATTTAAACTGGGGTGAGATTGTATATGATTGTAGCTTTTTAAAAAAAATAATTGTCATACTTGTTTTTGTTTGTCTTTCTTTAACATATGCATACATCACATTTATTTTAATCTTTAATATTAGAAGTGTTTAGAGCCTTTATTTGGAAGTTTGGTGATGTTTTTGTTTTTAATTTTTAATTTTAGTTTTTGTAGGTACATAATAGGTATATATATTTATGGGGTACATGAGATGCTTTGATACAGGCATGTAATTCATAACAATCACATCACATAAAATAGGGGTATCCATCATGTCAAACACTTATCCCTTGTGTTACAAACAATTCAATGATACTCTTTTAGTTACTTTAAAGTGTACAATTAAATTATTGTTGACTATACTCACCCTGTTGTGCTAGCAAATACTAGGTTTTATTCATCCTTTCTAACTTTTTTTGTACCCATTAACTATCCTCACATGCCCACCACTACCCTTCCCAGCCTCTGCTAACCATTCTTCTACTCCCTATGTCCACAAGTTCAGTTGTTTTGACTTTTAGCTCATAAAATTAGTGAGAACGTGCGATGTTTGTCTTTCTGTGCCTGGTTTATTTCACTTAGCATAATAACTTTCAGTTTCATCCATGTTGTTGCAAATGACAGAATCTCATTCTTTTTTGTGGCTGAATAGCACTCCATTGTTTATAAGTATCACATTTTTCTTTGTCCATTCATCAGTTGATGGACACTTTAACTGCTTCCAAATCTTAACCATTGTAAATAATTTTGCAACAAACATGGGAGCGCAGATATCTTTTCAATAGAATAATTTCCTTTCTTTTGGGTATATACCGAGCAGTGGGATTGCTGAATTATATGGTAGCCTTGTTTTTAGTTTTCTGAGGAACCTTCATAGTGGTTGTACTAATTTACATTCCCATCAACAGTGTACAAGGGTTTCCTTTTCTCCACATCCTTGCCAGGATTTCCTGTCTTTTGGATATCAGCCATCTTACCTGGGGTGTGATAATATTTCATTGCAGTTTTGATTTGCATTTCTCTGATGATCAGTGATGTTTAGCACCCTTTCATATGTCTGTTTGATATTTTTATGTCTTTTTTAAAGAAATCTCTGTTCAAATCTTTTGCCCATTTTTAATTGGATTATTAGACTTTTTCCTGTAGAATTGAGTTCCTTATATATTCTGGTTACTAATTTCTTGTCAGATGGGTAGTTTGCAAATATTTTCTCCCATTCTGTGATTGTCTCTTCACTTTGTTGATTGTGCTCTTTGATATGCAGGAGCTTTTTAACTTAATGTGATCCTATTTGTTCATTTTTTTCTTTCGGTGCCTGTGCTTGTGGGATATTACTTAAGAAATGTTTGCCCAGATCAATGTTTTGGAGAGTTTTCCCAATGTCTACTTGTAGTAGTTTCATTGTTTAAGGTCTTATATTTAAGTCTTTAATCCATTTTGATTTGATTTTTGTATATGGCAAGAAGTAGGAGTATATTTTAGTTCTTAGGCATATAGATATGCATTTTTCCCAGCACCATTTATTGAGCAGAATGTCCTTTCCCCAATGTATGTTCTTTTCATCTTGGTCAAAAATAAGTTTACTGTAGCTGTATGGATTTATCTCTGAGTTCTTTATTCTGTTCCACTAATCTATATGCCAGTACCACGCTGTTTTGGTTACTATAGCTCTGTAGTATAATTTAATGTCAGGTAATGTGAATCCTCCAATTTTGTTCTTTTTGCTTAAGATGCTTTTGGACATTCTGGATTCTGGTTTTTTTTTTAGTTTCATATAAATGTGGGGATTTTTTTTAAATTTCTGTGAAGAACATTATTGGTGTCATTGGTAATTTGATAAGGATTGCATTAAATGTAGATTGCTTTGAGTAGTATGGACACTTTAACAATATTGATTCTTCTAATCCATGAACATAAAAATGTCTGTCCATTTTCTTATGTCTTTTGCAGTTTCTTGCATCAGTGTCTTATAGTTTACATTGTAGAGCTCTTTCACTTTTTGATTAAGTTAATTCCTAGGTATTTCATTTGGCTATTATAAATGGAATTACTTTCTTAATATTTTTTTTCAGATTGTTCACTGTTGGCATATAGAAATGCAGCTGATTTTTGCATGTTCATTTTGTATCCTGCAACTTTACTGAATTTATGTGGTATGAGTTGTATTATCTCTTTTTTTAATCTCTGATTTTGTTTATTTGATCCTCTGCCTTTTTTCTTAGTCTGGCTAAAGTTTTGTCAATTTTGCTTATGTTTACAAGACCAGCTTTTTCTTTCATTGCCCTTTTGTATTGTTTTCTTCACTTCAAATTAATTTATTTCTGCTCCGATCTTTATTACTTCCTTTCTTCTACTAATTTTAGGTTTGGTTTGCTCTCACTTTTCTTGTTATTTAAGATGTATTAGGTTGTTTATTTGAATTTTTTTTTCTTTTTGATGAAGGCACTTCTACCTATAAAGTTCCTTCTACTATTGCTTTCACTGTATCCCTTAGGTTTTGGTATGTGTGTGCCCATTATTAATTATTTCAATAAATTTTTCAAATTCTTTCTTAATTTCTTTTTTTTAAATTTATTGCATTTTAGGTTTGGGGGTATATGTGAAGAACATGCAAGATAGTTGCATAGGAACACACGTGGCAGTGTGATTTGCTGCCTTCCTCCCCTTCACCTATATCTGGCATTTCTCCCCATGCTATCTCTCCCCAACTCCCCACCCCACACTGTCCCTCCCCTATTCCTCCAACAGACCCCAGTGTGTAGTGCTCCCCTCCCTGTGTCCATGTGTTCTCATTGTTCAACACCCACCTATGAGTGAGAACATGTGGTATTTCATTTTCTATTCTTGTGTCAGTTTGCTGAGAATGATGTTCTCCAGGTTCATCCATGTCCCTACAAAGGACACAAGTCATTATTTTTGATTGCTGCATAATATTCCATGGTGTATATGTGCCACATTTTCCTTGTCCAGTCTATCATCAATGGGCATTTGGGTTGATTCCGGGTCTTTGCTATTGCAAACAGTGCCACAGTGAACATTCGTGTGCATGTGTCTTTATAGTAGAACAATTTATAATCCTTTGGATATATACCCAGTAGTGGGATTGCTGGGTCAAATGGAATTTCTATTTCCAGGTCCTTGAGGAATCGCCACACTGTCTTCCACAATAATTGAACTAATTTACACTCCCACCAGCCATGTAAAAGTGTTCCTATTTCTCCACATCCTCTCCAGCATCTGTTGTCTCCAGATATTTTAATGATCGCCATTCTATTTGGTGTGAGATAGTATCTCAATGTAGTTTTGATTTGCATTTCTCTAAGGACCAGTGATGATGAGCATTTTTTCATATGTTTGTTGGCCTCATGTATGTCTTCTTTTGTAAAGTGTCTTTTCATATCCTTTGCCCACTTTTGAGTGGGCTTGTTTTTTACTTGTAAATCTGTTTGAGTTCTTTGTAAGTCTGGATATCAGCCCTTTGTCAGATGGGTAAACTGCAAAAATTTTTTCCCATTCTGTTGGTTGCCGATTCACTCTAATGACTATTTCTTTTGTTGTGCAGAAGCTGTGGAGTTTGATTAGGTCCCATTTGTCTATTTTGGCTTTTGTTTCCAATGCTTTTGGTGTTTTGGTCATGAAGTCCTTGCCTAATCCTATGTCCTGAATGGTTTTGCCTAGATTTTCTTCTAGGGTTTTTATAGTGTTAGGTCTTAT